CCGCGGCAACTCAGCACAAACGGGTATTTTTCACCATCGACGCCTATGTTACTATATTCTTTGGCCGAAGTTCCTACAGGTTTCGGTATCGACCCTCGGGGGGTGTATCGACCCTCATGGGGTCTGTATCGACCCTCATGGGGTCTGTATCGACCCTCGGAGATTGTACCGACCCTCAGAGTTAGGTATCAACCCTCATGGGTAGGTAACAACATTCTGGGAGTAGGCATCGACCAACAGGAAGACGATGGAATTCTGAAGTGGGGTAATGATGATTAAGGAGTCGATTGCGGGCCAAGAGCCCATTACGCACTGCCGTACAATTGTTCTACTTATTTAATAACTTTTTGGTTAATGTTCTGGTTTATTGCATTTACTTTTAAAAAAAATAGGTAAAGATTCAAATTTACGATAATACGAAATTAAAATAAAACCTACAGAAAGCACTCGTTATTTTAGCGAAAACGATTAGATGTTAAATTGTCAATTGTTTTATCTTAATTAAAAAAAAAGTTGGAACCTGTATTTCTTCGTGGCTCGCTTCTTTCTCAACGGGCACGCCACCCCACGAAGGCGCAGAGGAGACAGAGTAACGTGCATCCGAGGCGGCGTGCAAGGAGGGTGCTCTTCGGTCCTTCGGACGCGTCGAGGCTCGTGAGGAACTAGGACATCAAAAGCACGCGATCAAAGGGAACCACTACTCTGATGGGTTCGCGGCCGGAGTCAATGCATTCTTGGCTACCGGGGTCTCCGTCTTAGCAACACCTGGAGACGGGCCGTTGCCCCCCGCCAATCCGGTCCCGCCCCGCTGAGACACCCCCCGCCCTCGCGGATGGCCAATGACGTGGCCGCCCTTTGGATCGTTCTTTTTTTTTATATTTCTGCCGTTCCCCTCAACACAGATGCATCTTCCAGGTGTCTATCCTGTTCAGTTTTCTATTTTCTACCTTTCCACCCCTCTCCCCCTCCCCCATCTCATCTGGTCACCCGCCATCGTCCTTTCCTTGTCCGCTAACCACGGCACACCCGTCCTCCCATTGGTCGCTGATGCACCCAGTCGGCCGACGCGCCTTTCCTATAAGATGAGACACGGCACCCTCTTGGCAGCAGTATAGCTCTGAAGAAGGCCACAGCAAGATGACCGAAACGTCAGCACAATTGACCGAGACGCGACTCATCCCGGAAAGCCAAAAATGCACTACTCTGATGGATCCAAACGCCATAAAATTATGTTCTTCAAAATCTTTGTTTATGTATTGATATTATTTAGCATCTAAAAAATATTACTTGATTTAGTGTTGAAACTCACAAGGAGAAGTCAGTTCATCGGATGAGCAATCATTCCTAATCTGTCGTACTGTAGTCGAACAGATTATTCGGACTGTTCAGAATTCGTACGAATTTCTTACCTCCACAAAAGATGAAACTGGACTGAAAAATTAATAAGCAAATAAAAAACGATGGAGAGAGACACATTGCACATGCGTTGTAACTATTTACTGGAGAATGTCCTTTGTGTAGTTGCCCGATGTGATTAAGGAGACTATGTGACAAACATTCCATTAGAAAATCTGAACATTCGAGATTTTATTCACAATTTTGGGCACCAAAACTGATTATTAATACTGCAACAAATTTGCTGAAAAATAATTTCGAAATTTTATTTTTAGGGTAATGAAACGTCTTTAGCTAAAGGTGGTGGTGGCAAACTGAGTTCTATTTCATAAAGTGTAAAATATCATTGAACATTGCTAAATTAACATTGAGATCAATAATTCCCTTCAATTAATTAAATACCCTTTATTTAATTAACACTAAGCACGAATGTTTGTATTCTCAGTATGTTTAGATTCACATCTGGCTTCAAACTTACTTCCTACGAACACTCATTTTTTTCATTATCAATTGCGTGATTTGAAATTCCAGCAAGGCAACTCCATGACCCTTGTTCTGCAGGCCAAATGATCTAACAGCAATCATCTTTACCCTCTGGTACACTACCGCTCTGACATGAAAAAATGGGTTAACTGCATATGAAGTTAATAATGAGGAAAGCGTAAAAATTAAAATGAGAATCTTGAGAAGCGGGAAAACCCGTTAACCCTGTAAACCTACACACACAAATCGAATCAGCAATTCTCCTGAGCAACTGTAATGCAATATAAAGCTTTTTTAAACCTTAATGTTACTTCGATGTATGCGAATTCTAAACTTCAAATGTTTACGTGTAGAGAGTGTTTTGCATGACAGTTCTAGATGACGTACTACTTTGAGGCCGCGGGCAGCTGGTCCGCAAGTGCTGCAGTGCTGCAGCACACTAGCAATTATTTTCAATATATATAAAACTAGTGGTGCAACAACAGCACATGTTTACTCGTATATTTTTTTAATTTATAATTTTATCTGTGAAAAAGAATTGAAGAACAAAATTTGGAGCGGTTTTTGAGAAAATGTGTTTTTTATGAATTGTATTAATTCATACATTCAATTCATACATTGAATATTTTTTTTAAATGTAGGATAACTATCCATTTTTTTCGGTATGTTCTCGTGAAGAGTAAAACTCATTAGTGTATATAATTATTCAAGTACAACACATATGTAGTATTGCTAAATTTGTGAAGTTCCATCTATTCCTTAAAAAGTATACTGTTTCATTAAAAATCAAAGTTGTAACAATATATTCAAAATAATAGAAGCTATCAAAAAACTAAAAACTACAACTAATGAGACTATGTCTTGAATCGTTTTGCGGAAATTCCTTCACAAGATCTTGAACGATTTAGAAAATATTCAAGGTGGGTGTTATTATTATGATAAGTCAAGGTGAGTGATATTATGATGACTATGTCGATATATTAGCAGTTATATTTAGGCATAATAAAATGTTAGTTGCATTAATAGCTAATTATTATGAACTAAAACACACTAACAGTACCTTTTCCTTTTCTTGTGGCGAGTTTTAGACGGAGCACTCGGGGAGCTTGTCTGTAACATATGAATAATAATGATAATAATAATAATAATAAAAACAAAGTAAAGGAGAAAAAAAGAACAAGAATAGCGGCATATACTGCAAATACACGTGTAAATTAAAACGTCAGAAGCAATCTCACGGACGCTATTTACGCTCGTAGTCCGCAGCATCATACACCGATACGTACTGTGAAGAACTATTACTCATTTCTTCTCAAGCCAGTCACCTACCTTGCCAAATATTTGCTCAATAAAAATAATAAAAAATTGGTAGGCCGCGTCATGGATTTCATGGAAGAAATCGAGATTGAGTCTGTGAAGCCATGACCGGGTGGCATATTTCAATTGATTCTACAATTCTGCACTACCGGTGGAAAACAATAGATTCACCATTCGAATCCGTTAAAACCCTCTGAACCTCTAGTGACTGGCTCAGTACACGTTAGTGATGCGCAGGTAAGGTAAGCTAGAACTGCTGCGCTTTCAGTAGGCGTAATAGTGTTATTTATAATGGTATCACGACTCTTGGCAGTGGAGCGAACACACCTTGGCTTTTAAGTTACTATCAAGGAGCACTATAGCGGTGGCGAGAGGCCCTGCATTCGGCATACAGCAATCTAGCGACTGACAGAAAACGCCTGAAAGAGATGGAAGCCGTAAGCGTCGCAAATGCACTCCGAATGGGTTTTACAAGGTAATCCATTGAAAATACATCAACATTTAGAACCTAAGGCAAGAGATTCAATGACAAAAATATTCCTCTTTTCCCATGTAAATGAATGAGATGAAATTAAATTATTCATACCGATACCTAAATGGCGAAAATAAAATTCCATTCTCACATTTAAAACAAAAAAGTGACTACCTTTACCTCCAAGGAGTGACAAGGCTTCGAGTGAAGTTTCCCAATGAAACACACACATACACATACGTGTACATGATCTAACTTCAGACTTATTTTGGAACAGGCTTCTCCTGAAAGTGAAGAATCCCTAATATAATATATCCCTAATATAATATAATAATTCATTAGTTAAGGGTAGGAGAATACCCACAGTTGCTGCAATAATGGATTAAACACACTAAAATTCACGATTTTAATTAACGTGTCAATGCTGTCACATATTGAGACATCACCTCGACATGAAATTAAAGATGATATTTTTAGAAGAGTATCTACGCAACAACGAGAATTTGCAAAATTGGAAAGGGGTCATCCATAAATGACGCAACGCTAAAGAAGGGTAAGGAGGTTTGGGCAGCGTTACGCTGCGTTACATAGGGGTAGGGACTATTCCATTAGTGTTATGTAACATTGATTTTTTTTTACATTTTTTAACATTCGTTGAAATACTATCTTTTTGTCACACTAAAACATTAAAATATTATGTAATTAATTTATTTTAAAACAAAATTATTTTAAGTTATTAGAAGTTGTTACTGAATGAATGAAATGAATACTCTTTTCTACTGATCTAGAATTAGTCGCGTTACAGGGGGGAGAGGGGTACTCAAAATACTCCAAATTTGCGTTACGTAATTTTTGGACGGCCCCTACGTTGAAAACACTGAATATAGTATATTGAATATAATGTTTGTACAACTTAGTAATAAATATAATATAGTACATTGAAATGTATAATATTGTATATATATAATACATAAATATAATATACTCGTAGTATATTGATTCAATAACACGAATACCATATGGAGAAAGTGGTAAAAGTTCCAGTAATCTTCAGAGGCTACCTTAAGAAAGTAATTGTTTTAATATATTTAAGCAGTGCTTGATTTATAAAATATAATATTAAATTAAATATTATTTTAATAGAAATAGTTATACATTATAATATAATTTAATAAATATTATTGCCGAGGTAACGGAAAGCCATTCTGTCGCGTTCCGCCAGAAATCAAGCCCTGCATTTTAGCATTTTGAGAGTGCCTTCACAAAAACGCAGTGATCGAGTGTTACGTACCTTGAATGGTTCTCTCAAGGAAGAACTCGTGGTCGAGTCGGAGGCTCCGAATTTCCCGGAATGTTTGCTGGCACCGGGGGTGCTGCTCGGGGAGAGCACTCGCGGGCCGCTGCGCTCGGGCGCTGTCTCGCTGGTGCGCCTGAGCGAGGCCGGCGCCCCGGGCGGGAGGCCCGACGGCACGGCGTGCGGAGGACGGAAGCCCTCGGCGGACTCCTTCGGGGACGTCGCAGGCCGGGCGCTGCTTTGCGGAGACAGAGGCAGGTACTCCATAGGCCACGCCGGAGGCTTGCCGATTTCCTCAGAAGCACTGGCGCTCGCCGGGGGCCACTTTGCAGGCGCGTCAGGCTGCAGATCGCTCTGCGCGGAAGGCGAGTACTTGGGTGGCATGTCTGTCGCCAAAGTGCTTTGCGGAGGACGGAAGCTCACTTTGGCGCTCCGAAGGGCCAACGTGCTTGGTGGCGGAAGAAGGCTGGTAGGTATCGTGGGTAGAGATTGCTTTTTGGTAGAGTGGGGATCTCGGTGGGCCGCCTCGGGGTCAAATCAGGTTGCAACCTGCTTTGTGGTGTGAGGGAGATCTCGATGGGCCGTCTCAGAGGCACATCAGGCGGCAGAATGGATTTTGGTAGAGTGGGAATTTCGGTGGGCCGCCTCGGGGTCATATCAGGATGCACCTTGCTTTGCGGAGTGCGGATGATCTCAGTGGGCCACTTCGGAGGCACGGGCGCAACGGTGCTTTGGGGCGGACGTATGATTTCGGTGGACCACGGTGGAGTCTCGGGTAGCAGGCTACTTGGCGGCGGACGGTGGCTTTCGATAGTCCATCTGGACGGAGATTCTGGTGGCAGGCTGCCAGCTGGCTGTCGCAGACCCTCAGTGGTCCATTTGGACGGAGATTCTGACAGCAGGCTGCTTGGTGGCGGCCGGAAGCTGTCGGTTGTCCACTTGGACGGAGACTCGGACGGAAGGACACTTTGCGGCTGACGCAGACCCTCTGTGGTCCATTTCGACGGAGACTCGGGTGTCCACTTCGACGGAGGATTCGGCAGCAGGCTACTAGTGGCGCGCGCAAGCCCTCGGGGGTCCCACTTTATCGGGGATTCGGGCACCAGGCTACTAGGCGGCGCACGCAGCCTCGGGTGTCCACTTTCGATGGAGATTCGGGCGCCCAGTCAAGGCTGGTAGGCGGGGGCGGCACGCGAAGCCCTCGGGTGTCCACTTCGATGGAGATTCCGGGCCACAGGCTGCTAGGCGGCGCACGCAAGGCCTCGGGTGTCCACCATTCAGCGGAGACTCGGGCGGTAGGCTGCCTGGTGGTGAACGGAAGCTGTCGGAAATCCACTTGGACGGATATTCAGACGGCAGGGTGCTTTTCGGTGGACGAAAGCTTTCGGTGGTCCATTTGGACGGAGATTCAGGCAGCAGGCTACTAGTGGGCGCACGCAAGCCCTCGGGTGTCCACTTCGGCGGAGACTCGGGCACCAGGCTGCTAGGCGGCGGACGAACACCCTCGGTGGTCCATTTGGACGGAGGCATGGCCGTCACGCTGCTTGGAGGCATGTGGAAGCTGTCGGTGGCCCACTTGGATGGAGATTCGGACAGCAGGCTGCTTGGCGGCGGAGGAACGCTTTCGGGGGGCCACTTCAGGGACTCGGGAATCGGCACCGGAGGCGGCGGGTGCAGAAAGCCCTTTAGCGGGTCCGAAGGAATAGGAGGGTCGAAAATGACGTTTTCGTGGATGGGAAAGGTAGGCCGTTCGTTCAGCGGTGGTTCGGGAGCAAGAGAAGTCAGCTGTTTTGTTGGGCGTTCGTCAAAGGGCGATGCGGGGGGAAATCCAAATGTTTCTTGCTCGGGCGAAAGCTTCTTTCTCAGACTTGGTACATCCTCAGCTGCGCATAGGATTCAGTAATTATTAATCTCTTTGTACCAGCTATATTGCAATGGAAATTAATATTTATTATTGGTTTTGAATTACTTTTCATTTTTTTTTACTTTCTTGCATAAGAACGATGAAGAAAGATTGTTATACTGAAAAGAATTCAAGTTAAGATTTTGACGCAATTACACTTTCTGGGGGTCCCTGAAACCGAAAAATATTTTTTTATAAACGTTTCCCTATCTGTTCGTCGACTGAAGACAACACTAGATCCTTAAATCATTGACAGACGTTTCTCTAAATTAATATTCCCCAATCAATTAGGCCACACTCTAGATTCTGTTAATTTGATAATTTTTGGATGTCTTCCTAGAAAATTAAGTTTTGTTCGAAATTTTGTAAAACAAGCACAGTTTCTTTCTTAATGTTCGTTTGCTCATTTTGCTTGAATGTCCATTGATAAAAATTGCTTAGCTACTATTTTAATAAAAATCACAAACGTTTGGGAAATAGAAAAAAGAATTTAACTCCCTTCTAATTTGAGTATTATAAGTGATAGAAGTGTTTCCCTAATAAAGTCTACTCTTCAAAACTAGATATTTATTCTATCATCAGATATACTTTTTTATACACAATATATTCTCAGCCATCACTAAAAAATCATAGAAAGCTGTTGAATATTGGGTATGTAAATAAAGCAGCCTCTTCAATGACTCCAATAATATTTAAAGATGTCTTTCCTCATTTGTGTAGAAAGATCGTCCTCACCACGAACAATTCTATTTCACAGACAAAAATTTGACTTTAAGAATTTTTTATATAAAAACAGTCACATTCAAAACATTCACCAACTACTTTTTACGAAAAATATCTCTCAGGGTTTCAAGATACTGCGTGTAATGACTTTTGTCGAAATGGAGGGATGATTGTTCGAAGTATCTGAATAAATGATGTGTGTCCGATTATTTTGTCCAGTGCAGCAAGATAGGCAACGGACGAGTGTAACTGAAGACCGTAAGGAAACGAAGGAAATATTCGCAGAGCACGCGAATTTACAGCGCATCCCGAATCACGAACGGCCCGCAAAGCTTACGTATCATGTCTCTGTATAGACTTACGCAAGATCAGTTTGGTAATGTCAGGCGGGGGAAGTATTGACCGATAGACTGTCATAGTAGTTAGTCGGGGAGAAGCATCGGAGAAGTGTCCCGCACCCCCGCTTTCCGGCTCCGTGGGCGAGGACGCGGACGAGGACTCGGTGGAGGCGGAGGTCCCGGAGGAGGAGGAGGTGGCGCTGTCCGTGGCGGAGGCCTCATCGGCGGGGGCGGGGCGGCGCGT